AACTTATAAGCTAATGTGACTGGCGCTGTGTAATAAAGTTCTATGCTAGCCTTGTGTCTAAAAGTTAGTAGCTGAAGCTAGCCTTATGATATTCAGAGGTTAAGAGTAGCTGAGGCTATTTTTGCAATTGTAATGCCCAAAGGTTTGCAGCTAATGTCACATACATTTTTAGCACTAGAAACACTAACAAAGGCAGGTTTGTTTGAAGTAAGCATTTTGTTTTGTTACAATTACCATAAATATTTTTTGGTTAAAGAGAAACAGACAAGTATTGATTCACTTTTACTAAAACTTGTGGGTTAATCTAAGCTCTTTTCATACTCCACACTCACCATGGACTCCAGGAGGGTGGCAGCCAAACATTTCCTTGCTTTATGCCCTTGCTGGTGTCATCAGTGATGTCATGGGTTATACCATGACCATGGGGGGTGCTCATGAATTTAATATACTGTGTTGATAAGTATTTGTATGATTTAAAGCGATTATAGAGGTTGTTTACAAAATAGTAATAGGTATTGTTTCTGTTGTTGATGTTTACTGATAAAAATAACTTTTTGTCATTTAATTTTTTTAGATGTGAGAGACTCAGACCCTTTGAATGTTTGATTCTGCTCAGGCTGATTGTTTAGTAAAGTGAAGGGACTATATAAACAGGTCTTTCTCTGCCAAGAGAGAAGAATGGATGTCTGTGGTTGAAAGATATTGCCTAATGCAACTGACTTTAGCATTACCATTTCCAATTTCATGTTAATTTGTGATCTCCAAATTACAAGCACTTTTTGGATTGCACATCAGTATCAATATACAGTAGTTGCTCAACACAGAGATACACAAATATACAGACACACTTACAGAGTAAATGTTTACCAGCTAAACAAATGGCTGCAACATTATACACTTTTAATGGCCTTGCCATAATATTTGCTTGACATTTTTGCTGTAGACATGGACATGTGTAGCAGACAATGCCTTTATGGTGGATTACACATTATGTAAAAACAAACAAGCATCTCCCACTGTTGCTATTTAATAATGTTCTTCTGTGGAAACCTTCTAAATCAGATTCTGTTTTTTAGGACTGCAGTTGGATTGGGTTATCTCCTTTTTGAATCAACATAATTATGCTCATATTAAACATTTTATGAATGTGTTGGATAAAGTCAAAAGTCTGAAATCAAAGCTGTTCATCTGAGATCCTTGAGGGTCCTGAAAACTTTATATTGGAGGTATGATGTTTTCACTTGAAGGCTGTGATACTTTTTAAACACTGCTGCAAAAGCCTTTGAGACCAAATAAAATCATTTCACAGCCCACAGCAAAAACAAATACAGCATTCCTGGACAGAAATAGATGGTCTTGTTTTTTTTTTACTTATGAGAGCAGTGCAGGCTGTTTGCTTTAAGGGCATGGGGAATACCATGACATTTGAGTCGAACATTCCCATGACTCATGTTATACAGTATGTATATGCCAGTGGTCGATCAGTCCTGCAGTTCCTCTGACAGAGTTGTGGACGAGCTTGTCAGGCTGGTCGAGGGTGAAGACAGCAAAAGACTGAGAGTAAGTGAGACAATAAGACATAATGGAAAGGCATATCTACAGTGTTCATTATCGCCTCATGTTTTGTTTGCTGTGATTTGTGATGTTGGAACACCTACCGATGTGTAACACCTGCTATGTATTAGTATGATTAATGAGCAAACCTGAGGAAGCATACAGTGAAACACATTGTTTGCTCTTTCGTTGGCATGAAGAAATTAAAAAGATCAATCAGTTAAGTTTTCTCAGTGTGCGGTGGATGATTCATTAGATCAGTGTTGTTGTCGCTGATTAAAAGAGTGCTGTGCATGGGTGACTCCAGTTGCCCTCGATGTTTGTTTTTTTTTTTCACACAATTTGACGACCTCTTTGTTTTATTAGAGCAAGTTAAAAATACATACATCACATATCTAGCTTTTAGTCACATGTTATTAGGCACCATAGCTTTAGTCAGCTTCTTCCTTTTTTTCCACATTTTGACATGCATAGCTTTCTGTTTGGCATAAAATCCTGTATTTGACATAATGAAGTCAGATGACACTGTAATGACAGTGGCTGCACTGTGTGGCAGCGTGGCATGTAATTTAAGGGGCATGATGGAATCTCCTCATTATATACAAGATGCATGAGCATTTAAAGCTCACAAAACACAACAAACCTTTAACATCTCAGATCTGCAATGAGAAATTTGACTTGACACGGTCTTTGATCATGTTTTACAGGAACAACTTTTACTTTGTGAGACGGGAAGAACCACTTATGCCCTGACATCAGGGTTGTGTGAAGTCAGCCAGTGCACTCGTCTTCACTGCTTTCCTCCTCTGCTTTCTTGTACTTCCTACGCGGTATGGCTTAATCACAAGGTCTGTACACAGCGTTTTGAGCATGGCAGGTTTGTGTCTGCCTCTCACCCACTCACTGAGTCTCCCAGGGAGATGAGGTATATGCACACCTCCAGACTGGGGATCCTTCCAAACTTTCTGAATACTTTCCACTAATTGCCCTTGGTTGGTGTGCTCTGTGAATTCCGTGTTATGGTAAATGCAGCTTTTGCCCCCCTTTGGTGAATGATAAAAACCAACAGAGTCAGCTTTGATGGGTGACAAGTCATAATTGTTTCATGTTTTTGACAGAGACAGGATAGATATTGTTTCAGGCACTTGTTATCAAAGTGGGTGAAGGAGGGCGACCAGAGAGTCAGTGAAGGATAGATGATAGAAATTTGGTTCATGATGAAGGTGAGGAGGATGGAGGGATGCAGATCCCCAGAATCTGTCACAGCGGCCTGAACTTGGTGAAGTAGTGCCTAACTTTCCTCTCTTTTTCTTTCTTCTCTTCTTTTCCCACTCCTTCTTGCAGCTCTGCAATTAAGAAAGCCTTAAACACTCAGCCCTGATGCTTTTGTAAAAGGTCTTTGTTCTGCTGCCACATCAACAGCAGCAGCGGTGGGAGGAACACATCTTAAATTATTTTTCAAATTAATTATTCCTTCTCCTCAACTTAATCGGCGTGGGTGAATAAAGGTGTTAAGATTTGGTAGACATTCTTTTGGTAAAACATTGTTTAAGTAGAAATTTGATGAACTGTCTATGCATCACTTCCAGTCATACAGCAATAAATATACATAATAATAAATGCGTAAGAAGAAATTTGGTGAGATTTTAAAATGTCAAAATGCACAGCATTTATTTCAATATAATCACAAACGTATTTAGCAAAAATCAGACACAGTTTTGACAAAAATAAATAGATTTTATGCCCTTTAAAGGCTTCATACTGTCACAGTAAAATAAAAGTACAATATCCTGATTTGCCAGTGTTGTCAAAATGAATAATTTTTATAACCCAAACATCACACAGCCACTCATATATCATGAGCTGGAATGTTAATTACACATCACTGAATAGTGGCTACCACATTCAAATAATATTTCACCCTGTTTTGCCAGATGCAACAATACAATGTGGTGGTATTACAAAATACACATTACTTAAAAATTTTCCTACAATGTGACCAAACTGCATAACAGGCTCTATCATCACACCTAACCACACCACAGAATACCAAGTAAATGACAGAATGTGACAGGTTTCCTCTGTTGTGTTTTGATTAAGTAAGAGTTCATAGTCTAAAAGGCACTTCAGAACTCAGGCCTCACAGCTACAACATACAGTAATTTTGATTAAACCATCAGTGTGGTGAACTGCTCTGCTCTCTACAACATGACTGTACTGTTTAAATCATTCTTTACAGTACTTTATCCAGGTAGATAATCAGCATTGAGGTCAGAAGGTATGCTTGAGTTTCACAGAGAATATTTACAACTATACCGACGTCTGGTGATGAAGTTACTCTTGTGTTAATACATTACTGACTTGACCAAACCTTAAACAGCATCGGAGATAGTAATACTGAAGATTTAGTTGTTGTTTAGTTAGTCCATGTATGAGACCTGCTAATTCATCTGGGAGTGAAAGCAGGCGTGTGTGTTCTGTATTTTGTAGTTGTCTTGTTCACATTTGGATTACAGTTTGTGCCATTAATAACACAATTAACAAATTAGTCACCATGTTACACAGGATGGTTGTCACAAATTTGTGCTACAAACTATCTCATTAGAAATTGCTATTCTTAAAAAGACTGTGTTTCATTTGTATTGAAATATTTAATGCCATTACAACCTACACACACAACCTACAAAAGTGGTCGGTCTATTCTTTTATAAAAGAAGGATGGTGATATTCTATATTTTTTAATGGATTTATCCTGCTGGCAGTTACTAACTAAAATATCCCTCTGTGCCATAGACATCTATTGTCTAAGGCACAGAGGAAAACTATTAAAAACACATCTGTTAACTACACCACTGCACATGGTGCCAAGTTCATTCATTACCATGAACATGGACACTGTAGTTAATTGTGAGTTAATCCCATATGCACAGTCCTGCTGCTGCAAATATTCACTAGTGCACTATTTCTGCTGCTACAAGTAGTTCCCTACATATGCACTTTTTTCCCGTTAAAGGAATGTTTGCAAAAAAACCCTGCAAAACCCAGCTGCTTGAGGAAATTATTTTGCCTTTTTTTTAAAAAAAAAGAATTTATTTGTGATCTATTTTTAAAACTTACATCCTCAGTAGGAACAAATTAAATTGGGGCTGAGAGCCACAGACAGACTGGGAAAGTAGGAAAGTAGTGAAAGATGGATGAACACATTGTTGGTTTGGGTGTCTTTATGGGGTTTGTTGATACTAAGACAATTACAGAATATTGCCAGCCTTCTCCTTCAACTAGTAATTAGGTGACAAACCTGTTCACTCTGATATTACACCATCACAGAGAAGTCAATCTACGGTCATACCCCTCTTCTCATGAGTGTTAACCTCAAAGTGAAATGTCAAATCCAAGTCACCTTTAGGTTGGTAAAGTACCGTAATTGTTTCTGAGAGTGCTGACCTTCACTGTCCCAGTGGCTTGTTGGTAGGCGGTTGGATGTTGTTGGTTATGTTGACGTTATTGTCGCTCCTCCCTGCGTTGTTCTCCATCCTGAGGGAGGAGGAGTTGAGTGGACTCCTCTTGAGGACTTTGTTAGCCAGGAGGCTACAGGTCTTCCTGTACTGGTGGCGCAGCAGCGAGTAGACAAACGGGTCACTTGCTGCCTTGCTATAGGCCAAACATTTGGAAAGCACACCCCAGTGAGGGCTTATGGGCACTGGGCAGAAGAGCTCCACAATTCTACCTCAAATAAAGCAAAAAGAGGAGGAGAAAAAAAGAGTCACACACCATCAATGCAGCGGTTGAGCTAATTCTTAGATCAGTGTAACTGGAGCGGAAGACATCCAAAGCAAACGAACCTCCCCCAGTAATGTAATATTGTGGAAATGTTATTATTTCACTTCATTGAAATGTCATCACTGTGTTGGGCAATTTGAACTGATGGGTGTCAAATCGTTTTTGCTGCTTCTGGACTTCTTGCTAATTAAAATTATTTCACACTGAATCCAGGGCCTGACACTTATTTTGTCCTAATAAATCAAATTAAAGACCAAGTGAAAACCAACTGCAGTATTGTCTTGCTGTTAATCTGCCTTTGTAATTAGTGTGATATCCTTAAGTCTAACGTGTTTCACTACCACACAGCTCCTAATGTGCATCCTCTCTATTTTCATAGCGCAAATCTAACAGCTTCTGACAGGTTGCCACCGCCAATACTGGGGCTAATACTAATGAGAGCCAGTGCTATGATCACTGACTCATTTGCTATCTCTCCCATTCTCTGTCTCTCTCCTTCTCATCTCCCCAGATATTCAGGCTCAGTGACAAGGATTAGAAACGTGTGTAGAACCAATAAGCTGTGACATTACGAAAAGGAAGCGGTTAAAAATGTTTAATATGCTACCAGATATCAAGACAGATATTATCGCCATCTGTATTCACACAATAAGCCAAGTATAACCACATTAGCAGCCACAACAAGGTAAGTGAAAACTCAGAATCTCTCTGTCAAAAAGATTCATCCTTGAGAGAGTTGTTCTCATTAAGCTGAATGAGGAAGATCAGTTAAAATATTTTTTCATTGCAAAGATAAAATATGCACAAGTTTATCTTCTGGAAGTTGTATGTGGAAAAGGTAAGAAACCTTCACATGTTGAGATTACGCATTGTGTTAAATCCCTCTCTCTCTCTCACACACACACACACACACACACACACACAAGGACATGCATTATTATAGATCTCTGCTCACCTTGTAATGACATAAGGGGTGAAGCACACCACAAATGTGCCGATGAATGTACTGATCTTCTTCGTGGCCCTCTGCCTCCTCCGCTTCTGCTCATCCAAGCATTTCTGGCGCACACTGCCAAAGCACACAGGTACGCATTATCTACCCAGGAGGCATGATCACAGACATGCAGACATAATGAAAACAGAGAAAACATGTGGGGTGGATGTGAAGAAAGCACTGAACTGTGCGCTGTTATCTCCGGGGATTACACTGGAGAAATTTCACACTGCACAGATACCAATTATGTAAATGGGAAGCAATTCAAAGTTTAATTGAGTAGAAGTCAGGGTAAATGATAAAACTGGGGAAGGCCTTGCTGATCATAATGAAACATAATGATGTAAACACTGACTGACAGCAGGATGGACAGAGTCAAATCATCACCAGAGGAGCACTTTGGATTCATGTCAAGTCATTTATAGGGAAGCTGTAGAAAGTTAGTGAATATGCTTTATGTTTTTAATAGCCTACTTTTGACAGTTAGCTGCTACAAACTGTAGCTATCCATTTTCATTATTTATTCAATTTTTTACAAATAGTTAATCAGCTGGTTGCTATAATGTCAGGAAACAGTGAAGAATGTGTCACAAGTGCCAGAATACAAGGTGACATTTTCAAATTGCACATTTTGTCAAACCAACTGTCCACAATCACAAAAACTAGGTCATCTAAAAGGATGTAAAACCGAGAAAAGCAGCAAAGCCTGAGGCTGAAGTTTGAAAGATGCTTGGTGATTTTCATCTAAAGGCTGAATAAACTAATTAATGTGATTATTTTTTGCATAAAGTATTGTCAATTTAGCAATGTTTGTAAGAAGAAGAGAAAAACTACCAGCATCATATTCTGTTCATGTTGTCTATGAAGACACTAAGTGCAGGTTTTCTAGCATAACAATCACTATTTGTGTCACAAAAATTCATTGGATCAATAGCTAGTGATTTTACCACAGAATCATACAAGACTAAACGAAACTGAAAGACACAAACGTTTCAGAGAAAGCAACGCGCTATAAAAAAAAAAATGATGAGACTGACTGTATCTGTAATGACTGTTTACCTGGGGTGAATGTCCACGAGCAGCACCAACGTCTGCATAGTGATCACGTCGATGCGTTTACAGTGAAACCTTGCAACTTTCAGCACTTTCAGATACGTTACACACAACACGATCAGCGTGAGGAGGAAAGTGAGAGAGTGCAGAGCCACGGTGAAAATGATGAACTGCGTGCCGGATGCCTTCGCCCTGGCATTGCAGAGAGTGCACGACGCGTAAAGGTGGTGGTAGCCCACCCAGGAGCGGCAGGTGGCAACTGTGGAGAAGCAGAGTGAGTGTATCCACGTGTATCCCAGCGCGATCACTGCATCCCGATGTCGTATTCTTGAGTGGTAACTCAGTGGGAACACCACCGCAACCCATCTATCGATGCTGAGAGCTGCCATGCTCAGCATGGAGTTTGTGGTGAGGAAAGTGTCGAGAAAACCCACAATTTGACAGAAGCCGCTGCCTCCGGGGTGACCCGTGGTGACGAGCCCGACAAGAGTTAGTGGCATGTTGGACACGCTTAGCAACAGGTTGCAAAACGTCAAGTTGAGGATAAAAAGACCGGGCACCTGTTTGCGGATCTCCGGGTTGTACAGAAAGCAGATCAGCACCACAACGTTGGACAGCAACGACACGAAAATGATCCCCAAAACTAACACGGAAGCAGCTATATCCGCTGCGTCCATCGTGACTTTTGATGAGTGCATCCACAGTGCTGATACAAACTGTCATCGTGAGTAGAAGTCGCAGCAGATATGAGTCCAATACATTGTCATGCTTACTCTCCCCAGGCTCCAAATGTCTTCAATAAACGCAGCGGGCCTGCCAACAGTGTCCACGATTAACTCGCAGAGGATTCATAGAGAGAATGCTCACCTGAATATTATGAGGACGTTTGGAAGTCAGTTTCTTGGGAATGGGGTCACAGCAGGAAGCTCGTTCTCGTGAGGCGCTGCGGTAGTTTTCAAGCACCTCTGTCATGCCACTGGTCTCACCGCTCAGTGTTTCCTGGCTGCGCAATTGCGCGTTGACATGATGGGAGGCTTTGAAAAAGAAAGAAGATATGAAAGTACTTCAGGCTTTTGGTATCTGAAGCTACTTATATCGTCTTCTCTGCCAGAGTCTGAAGCACGCTGCTGCACCCCTGTTCAAAAATAGCTTTTTAGTGTAAAAATAGAAGCACGACGCACGATTGCGTGGCTGGTGGTAAGGCTGATGTCATGAGCGTCACGTTGAGCACAGCAATTCTGGTAATGAGGTATTTTGTGCAAATAATCCATAAGTACATTAAGTTCGTGAATATTCAAAAAAACACAGAGAAGGTTAATTATGTATTTTGCAAGTCAGTGTCTGACTAGATTGACTCACCATCGTCACTGCATTTATTAAAAATTCTCAGCAGCAAACAGTAAGAGTTAAATCTGCAGCTCGGATATCATAGCGTTAGAATAGGGAGACCCGGAGCCTCATCAGGGCAGCGTTCAAAGCCTTATATGGCGCTTTAAATGGACGTAGTTTAGTGGACTTCTCCATCCAGATTATTAGTCCACAGTGCAGCAGTACTACCGCCTCTGGCACGCAGCTGTGTGTACCGCCTCCAGCCTTGGAAGCCATATTTTCAGTGTCCCATGACCAAAAAGCATGCAGATGCTAGTGTGTGTGTGTATATTTGTGTGTGTACGTGTATGTGTGGGTGTGTGTGGCCATAAATAACTAACGCTTCTGTCATTTTTTGTGCACAAAAGGGGAAAGGTCAGTAGGGGTCATAAGGTCATGAATAATAACTGGTGGTTGAAAAGATTTTCTGTATTCAAAATAGTTTAGTAGTTAAGTAAAACTACAAGTATTATGAGCAAATTATTGTAAAATTATCAAAAGTAAAAGTACTCATTTTGCAGAAAAATGGCCCTTGTGACTGTTATATTATTATATACAGTATAAGTATCGTATTAATTATTTATTATTATTATTATGGTTGCATTAATGTCTGAGCAGCATTTCTATGTTGTAGCTGATTAAGACAGGGATCATTTTAATTAAATTATTAGTCTGATAAACTGGTAGCAATGCATATTTCACAAACTGCTGATCATATATTTTGTTTATAAAATCTCAGTCTGATAAGTAACTGTAAAGTACCTTAAAATGTAAATACTCAGTAAAGTCTTAATATTTGAAAAATGGGATTTAAGTACATAATCTTTGACTAAATGTATTTATACTCCACCATATAAAGTTATAGCATGATTCTTCAATTAACTTCTTGTAACATGTTTCCCACTTTTGAATTGCAGGACCCATGCGCAATTTTAGACTGCAATACCCTCATCAGTGGTGCATGAAGTTGGTGGTTCTAAATATAATTTAGATTTTCCCGATGTTTTTGATGTTTTCCCATGCCTGGTATCAGTTCTGAGGAAGGAAGGCGAGACAACAAGTCTGCTGATCGTCCTGCTGATGGGAAGGGACATAAATGATTCTCTGTCATCCTGCAGCCACTACAATGTGCTGTGGTCCTGAGTGTTGGGATCTAAACAAAGAAGAATTTACAGAATGAGCTTTTCATGTCAAAACTGTGATGTATAGCCACCTTATTGTATTAGTCATATAGCTGTTTCTGGTTTCACCTATTCTTTGAATAGACTCATTTACCACTGTCACACACCACCATACATCTGAGCTCTCTGAAAGTTTCAATTAACATGTTCAATTAGACTCCCCAGTAAGGATGAAAGTTAAAATGACTAACTTGCAGAAAATCATTTTCCTCAGATTAGTTCCAGGACCAAAATTAAAAGCATGGATGTGATCTATATAGTGTTTAATTGAAAGATTTCTCCTCTGTCCAGCCATAGGGATAGGAGAAACCAGTCTATTTGTTATAACAGTGGTCACACGTGCAGCTGTCTTGCCATTCCAATAAATTATCAGCAATGACAAATTGCCGATAGCGGCTGTGCAGATTTTCTAATTAATTCCTCAGAAAGAGACGTTTTTCACCTCTGCCCTGTCCACATAGTGAAGGAACAGATGGTGAAACTACATTGGATTTTCTTTTTTTTAAAGTCTTTTCAGTGCTCCCCAAACCAGGGTAAAGTTCAACTTCATTTGCCTGTAGCCTTAATGAAGTGAGTTAATTAAGTGCAAGGTTACGGCTACACATAACCATATATATATATATATATATATAATCCTCTAAAAGTCTCTGCAGACACTGGCTAGTTTTTTTTTAATTTACATTTATAGCAGATGTATTTTTATCTCAGTGAACCCAGAAGAGGCTGTAAATGTATTCCAAAACTATTCTTGTTTTAAACACTATTGTGAACTATTTTCATTACTTGTCTATGAGGCATATACATATATAACTAGACATCATTCACAGCTCTAACGCAAAAGAAGATTTAATTAAATGAAGGTTCTTTAAAAGCCACTACGTTTATAATTTGAAAATGTCTATCTTTAGCGCCATCCAGTGGTAGGATCAAAAAATATACTGTAGTGCTGGGCACCCAATAAATGGACTCAAAGCAACATGTAAACTGTACTAATTCTCCCAAAGATCGTATATTTATACACACATAATTTGAAGGATGCTATGATTAAAAACACAAAATCTTACAAATAGAAACTTTAAAGTAGCATTAATGGAGCATAGTGTTTGTTCAGGCGTTGAAGTCATGCTTGTATTGGCCGATTGGGATCAGCTGTTTGTAATGTGCTTTACAGTGATTGCCTCATTCGTTTACAGTTATGTGGCTTGTAATGACTAGCCAAATTCATGCAGGTGTACGGCATTATAACCCGACACAATAGGCATGGTGTTTGGGATTCAATAGAAGGGAATGGAAACAGTTAGGAGTAGAAGAAATAAGTGGGTGGGGTTAGGGTTAGGGTTGGGGTCAGGTAAAGCATCTCAGAAGACATCTTGTTTGGAGTAAGCAATAAGGGTAAGGATGAAACACAAATCGGCACACTTTGACAACATCGGAAATGTAATGTGACTTATGTGCAAACAAAAACTGTTCACTGTTACCAGGGACACAGCCAAGTAAAACAAATACATGTGAAAGGATAGTCAGTCAATTAAAATTTTCCATGGGCCAGCGACTAAAAGGATAATGCAAAGTAGTAGAGGATTCTTGAGGCTCTTAGACACCCCATGATTTGAGCCTGTTCTCAAGATCCAGTTGTAGTCAATTGCAGGTTCTGCAAACAAAGCAATATCATCTGTCAGCACTGTCTCTTTTGTTTAGTTGCACAAGTCAGGTAATTAAAAGTGACCGAACCATTGATTTGTCTGCTTAACTGGACATCTGCTGTGTGTGCACAGTTACTGCTTCATCAACCTGCAGTAACAGATTGTTTGTCTTTGCAGTTAGAGGAGAAGTTGATGCCGTGATTGTTGGCGCTGACACAAAACTCATGGTTAGAATATCAGCTTTACATCTGGTTTATTCAGTCATATCAGTCATTATTATGACTCCAACTCGGCCATGAAAACTGAATTTCAAAATCCTACAGCGTTTCTCTTTACCTGCACTTTACTTCCTCTGATAATATCACTCTTCTACACCTGTAAAACACAGCTTCCTGTTTACCCTCAGCGTGCTCCTCTTAGATGTAGAACCACTTTCATCTTGAATTTAAGGCTGTGGTTTTTCTGTTGGCTGAATTTCAAATAGCTGGTTGTGTCTTGGCTGTACATAAATTCACCAGGCTCAGTTAATCACGCTCGCCCATCTGCTTTGATGTCCTTTCTCTGGTAATGAGTTTGACATCACTGAACACAACCATGACAGTAAGCGGCTCCCACTAGTTTTTAGCATCTCATTGAGAGAGCACGAGGGTACACGTCAGGACCTTCACGCACTGGTTATATGTTTATGTTTATATGTCATATGTGGTGTGTGCAATGAATGATCTTGAAGCTGACTCGCTCTGTTGTCTCTGACCGTCTATCCTTGTGGGATTTCAGAAGTTTTTACAAGAGCAGAAATCTTTAGAAAATCCTCTATGGAAGACATATGTCAGTTCTGGATTTCAAATAAAAAGAGCAAATTAGTATAGCTAAACATCCTCCTGAGAATAGTGAAGCAAATGCAATACAGTAAGCATGACGCAGAGTGGCGCTAGCAGTAGATGACTCGTGCCGGTGGCTGAATGAACACACGCATGGCTGCAGCCCCAATTGGCTCATGCATTTCAGAGGCTGTCTTTTCACATTATTCCTTGTTTGTTTGTGCTTGGACAGCCGTCTCACTTCTGTAGAGTAAGCTTCACATGCACAAACACGACCAATCTGCTTGTCGGTGTCATGATTCATATTTTCATACGTTGGGTGGGTGACTCACAGGAGCAATAGCTAAATTATGAGCATGCAAGTCCGTTTCTGCATTTTCATCTCTTGAGGGGCTGTTTCTCTGTAAATGCACAGTCCATTAAGGTCAAGCACTAGTGGTGTCACTAATAGAGTATCATTTTATTTGACTAAGTACTTAAGTACCAGGACTAACAATAAAACCAGGACCCCCTTGGTGGCCCTTTTTTGTTGCATAACATATCATACGGATACTGACACTTATCATGTCATTCTTACTATGAGCGAAAAGAGAGACATGCTGCTCTCCTGATTGGCAGAGAAATGGTTCTGGAAAATATAATAATACATTTATCTTTAGCGGTG